CTGCACCTGAATGTTTTTTCTCTCTGAGAGAAGGTTCATAGTTGTCACCAGGTTCTCCAAGGAGAGAAGGAGAGGTTGGGGACTCACTGCACTGCTCTGTGAGCTCATCAGGCTTGGTACCTCCCGTGCCTACCATGGCACCTTTCGTATAAAAGTGCTGGCTGCCAGGATGCCTGGGTGCATGACTCTAAATTTTTTTGTCAAGCTCTAATTCCACAATTGACTAAACTACTATGCAAACTGAATGATGCCCTAGACAAGACCCAATCAATGGGACAGAATTTTAGGGTGAAAGATTTGAAACTGAGAAAAAATTTTTGATTCTCAGTGCTATTAAATGTGACATGACTGACTCACGTGCCACATTGATCTTCAGTCTTTCATCCTTTTACGCTATCACCAAGCAAAGAAGAGGATTTATCGATCACCAAGTTCAGCAGAGCATGTGGACAAACTGTATGGCATGTGTTCCAGCCCTGACTGGCTGTTCACATTACATCTTATAGCTATTTCCTTTCAGACTTATAAATCAATTTTGAAAAAATCCTAATTTTAAAAGGAGCGCATCAGAAATCACAGCTCAGCAAGATATGGCTTTTTCTTGATAAACACCGAATAACTAAGTTAAATATGCACATTGTGGTTTTAGAGACTGTCCAAACTAAGGGGTAATTTGAGACATCAGCCCCTCATCCCTGAGTGCTGGGCTGATTTGAGAAGATAATTACAGTCAATGGTACCTGGGATATGAAATCAAACACCCATTCTCCACTCGCTGGGTTTGGTCAATAAAAGATAATGAACCTGTCATAAACTAAGACAAAGTGCCACCAGAGAGTGACAAACCCCTCCCGGGTTTAAATTGTTGTGGGAACAGTCAGTAAACACACCAACCCTCCCTCTAATCTAGACGGAAGAGCCTTGAAGGAAACGGGCCAGGCCTCTCGACATGTTGGCAAGAGCCAAGCCCTGACAGCTTGGAAAAGAGCAGAGAATAGGAGAATTGTGCTGGAGAACAGCGCTTATCTGTCCTGAGCCAGCACTAACAGCACCGCGGCCAGAACTGGATATCTTCACGCAGCTGTGAATAAGCTGGACACAAACCTACCTGGGGGCTGAATCTGACTCTGGGATCTGCTGTTAGATACCGGGAGGTATACAGTGTCTGCCAAGAACGAACTTTTACAATGCGACATTCCTCTACTAACGATCTGCATTCTTTTCCTTGTCAGATTAGAAAGAGGCGGCAGGGTAGAAGCGATGGGCTGGGTATCAAATCAAAAGTCCTAAGGTCTGCTAGATGTTTCTCAACTGGTGGACAAAAGACATCCTCAGATTCAGGAGGTCAATTCAACTTATTTCATACATCATTATGATAAGAAAAAGGAGAATTCTTTGAAGTTTATTATCTCATTTCTATGTTATCTTTTTATCTTCACAACTCTTCGAAGTGAGCAGAACTGATATTATGGTTCTGTTGTGCAGATATGAAATTGAAGATCAGAGACTGAATAGCTTGCTCGGGTTCACAGAGCAATATCTAGAGCCGGGTCTCGAGTTTTCTGACTCCCAGTCCAGGGTTCTCTCCCATACAGCCTTTCCCCAGCACATGGTGAGGGCTCCGCCCACTCCAATACTCCTGCTCAAACGGTCCTGGATACTGGCAAGTCACCTCATAAGTCAAACTCCTTGATAAAGAGACCCTGTTGACCATTTGATAGACTAAAGCCTTTGGATGGATCCCAAAGGTACTCATGTGGTATTGTATTCTGCTCTCTCTATAATGGTCTAGAGTGAATTTTATTTTTAGTAGTTTAATTACAAAATATAGCCACATTTATTATTACATGTTACTTTATGCCTTTAGGGCAATTATCCAGTCTAGTCTAAGGCTTTTGAAAAAATTTGAAACATTTGAAAGGCATCATTTAAGGAAAAGCTTGCATTATTCATTCAAGTCAAGAAATACTTATTGAGCACCCAGTAAGCACTGTCCAGGGCACTAAAGAGACAAAAGGGGTCAAGATAAGGTCCCTTCTGTAAGGAGCTTAAAACAGAGAGAGGAAGTCACATCGGAAGAGATAAATGTGTACATTGCGCGAAGAGCCACCCTGGGACAAGGGCAGAGGGTTCTGAGAGCGCAGAGAAAGGGCACCCAGTCCAGTGTTGGAGGCCAGAGAAGGCCTTCCGGAGGGATAACACCAATGCCAATAATCTGGAAGAGCAGGATTTTGCAGAAGTTTTCTAGCCTTGTCCACACCTCGAGGCCCAGAGTGGAACCCTGACCAACATGAAGCACCCCACGCCCTTCCCCACTTCTTTGCTCTGCTCACACTGTTCCCTTAGCCAGGATACCTTCTCTTGAATTTCATTCCAATATCATGTTTTTCACCTTTCAAGGCTTGTCTTTAATGTTGCCTTTGCCAGGAAGCCTTCTTTGATCCTATTTTAAGAAACAGAACTGAAACTAACTTGAAAAGATTCTAAACACAAGATTCAAATTCTATTACATTTCCCTGGATCTTTTGGAATCCGTACGCCCGTCAGCTATATTTAGTCGTTAAAAGATCACTATGTCCATTCTTTAATGTTTTAGGAATAAGTTGCTCTGTCCGTTGCTTGAGTGTTACTGGGGAAGCCTCGAAGGGCAACATCACGGCCATTCCTCCGTTCTTCTGAGGCCTGTGTTAGTACAGCACCTTCGTCTTCAGACAAAGCCAGCGGAGCAAGAGACGGAGCTGCCCATCTCTCTGTTCCCTCGGATCCTGGTTAGGCTGTGTGAGGTAGTCTGGAGGATAACCACCGTCTGGGTCTTTGGTCAACTGGTGGCAAATCGGGCATGGTGAAAACATGTCAGCATTGCCCTGCAGAAGACCACAATTTTTTCACTCTAAAATTATACACTGGTTCTTTTGACCATCAGCAAATCCTTACAAAGGGAACCAAAACAACTTTCTTCAGAGATACTATGGGGACTAAACAGAGAGACAATATTCATATTAGAGAGTTTTGCAAACTCTCCGGATGTCCTAACAATAAGTTACAGATGTTTAATCCTAAATTAAGAAGCTAAATATAATGTCGACTCTACGAATGGCAATTTTCTATAATTTGAGGAAAATATTTGGTAGCTCAGTTCCCATGAGAAATGGCTGGCAATGGTTCTGCACTGTTAAACATCTGTCAGCTTTTCCTAAGGACAGGATCATCCAGAGAAGAACAATAGATTTTTTAAAAACAGAATTGATCAAGAAGCTGTAATTTGAATTTTCCCCTGGACATGTGGGTTTTATTTTATAGCAGGAGGAAGTATTAGGGAATCAAGGGGCCTATATTCATATTTGCATTAATTGTCCTGAATCATTTTCTGCTTTTCATATTTTGTGTTATTGCCATGCTCTCCTTCATTTTGAAAAGAAACTTTATTGGTTTTCCTGTGGAGTCCATTTTCTCTCTTTATTCTGCTTGCAATAAGATATCAGCCTAATATTGGCAGAGCGACTCACTACAATGATTCTTTGTTCCAGAAAAAAAAAAAATGCATGAATAGTACATTATTAAAATAGAAGGAAGTGCCTTTCACTTCTTTTGCTATTTGCTTAGTGAGTATTGTCAAGGTACCAGATGCTTTACAAAGACAAAGAGTAAGGCAATAACCCGGACCCTTGGATCTTGCCCTGCTCATGAGCATCTCCATGAGTTTACCAAACACTGACTCATAAATCAACTCACATCTGCAAATGTGGCTTTAGATTTATAGCCAACTTTAAGGCACCTCTATGCCACCAAGCACCGTGTGGCCCACCCCTCCGGATCTTGGAGGGCCTGAGGAAAGGTGAAACCAAGATGGGGGTGGGCTTAGGAAAGATGGTAGGTGAGCTTTGGAGAAAAACAGCAAAAGAGAAAAGGGTAACAAGTAGAAGAGAAACTGAGAAACCGAAAGCTAAAGCAACGAATTTCATAGACAACTGACAGATAACTCTGGTTCTAAATCGAATACACATTTCACGGCTGTTGGAGTAAATGTTTCTTTATCTCAAACTTGGCTCTTATCAGTGTCTCACACATTCATGACATCTGAAGCTGTTTTTCCTGCATAGGAGAAAATTTCTCTAAATTTTTTCAAGATATTAATAGCCTGGATTGTATTTTTATATTCACAAAGTTGAAATCTGCTCATCCTAAATAAGGATCACATATAACTCGCCACACACTGTCTTGATGTGAGAGTTGAAATCACGAAAACTTCATCAGCTCAGGTCCCAGTCAGTTCTGAATTTGTGGGAAGAGAAGCAGAAATTGGTAAAAGATTATACTTGTGAGGGCAGTCAGGTAACGCCCAAAGGGAGTCACGCCTGTGATGGGGCAGGCACCAAAGGCAATGGCAGCATCCAGTCAGGGGTCCCTGCCATTGGAGACACACAGCGGCCTCTGTCCTCCTTCATGGAGAAGACCCTCACACCTCTTCTCTGGGGGAGAGTTTTGTGAGCCCTGTGCTCAGAAGTAACACGGAGGGCAGGGAGCCCACAGGCAGGTCTTCGAAGTGCTATCTCAGTGCCAGAAACCAGAGCCCCAGCCTCAGGGGGATCTCAGCCAGCCTGGCTCTCTGCTGGGCTCTGCTGGGCTCTGCCGGGCAGCAGAGCTCCCCGGATCTCGGCTGCTGGCTGTGGTCTGATGGAAGCCTGTTGCCTGGGGGCTGGGCAGCCTCCTGGGAGCAAGCCCAGTTGTACCCACTGCTGGAGGGCATACAATCTGGGTCATGACAACCTGGTGGCCTACCAGGCAAAATTCCACTCTCTGGGAGGCCCCACACTCTGAGAGAGGAAGGAGACAGGAATAGGGCTGAAGACAGTAAGGAAGCCTTAGTATTCAAGGACAGCAGTGGGAGGAGTCGCCTGCAGCAACACTGTCAGTGGGTCCTCTCTCCATCCCGGCCCAATCCCGTGGGCCACATGTTTAGGTCCTGGGCAGAGAGAACTCTATGACCACATTCTGTTTTTTTATTGAAGTATAAATGACACACCATATTATATGAGTGCCAAGTGTACACCTAGTGATTGCTATTTTTATACATCATGAAACGATGGCCATTCTAAGTCTAGTACCATCTGTCACCATACAACGTTATTTCAATATTATTGACTATATTCTCTACACTGTACATTGCATCCACATGACTGATTCATCTTATAACTGGACATTTTTACCTCTCTATCCCCTTCACCTACTTCTAAAACAGCTGTTTCAATAAAGGCTCTAGATCAATGGGCCCCTACCTCTCCCCCTCGCACCCTAGATGGTTGCCCAGCTCTGCACTCCTTGATCACACCGTGCCTGCCGGGGTCAGCATGAGAGACTCCAGGACCTGGGAGAACGAGGTAGAGGGTCTGCAGCCCTGGGGGCCGACCTTTCCCTGGGGACCCCCCAGAATTACTTGAGGGAGAAAAGGGAACATTAGAGCACTTATGAGAGCTGTTTGAGAAAACAGGGCATTTTGAGTTATGATTCAAATAGCTTTATATTTCTGAACATTTAAAATTTCCTCACATCTACAGTTTCCATTATCATCTGTTTCAAAACCAATAAATGACAAGGGATTGTATGTTTTCCTTCAAACAACATGAGGAACAGGTAAGACCTACACCCACTCCACAAACCCTGTTGGGAGGAGCAGAGCAAAGGAATGCATGGATTGTTGGTGGGAGAAGGGAGACGGGCTAAGGTCTTAGGTCCTGCAATAGGACAGAAAGCAGAGTTTGCAGACCCCGAAGAGCCCCAACAGGGCTTGCTGAGAAAAATAATAGATGTGTTCTAAACTTTGGGGTGGGAGAGGGAATTTTCAAATTTCATATAGGAGCAGACTGTATATAACCATTTAGCTGGATTTATTCTCCCATTCAACCAATGTGCTTATTTACAAATAAATAATTCTTATCTATATAGAATTTGGCCATGTAGTAGATTTTTCTTTTAATTTCCTACATACAAACACCCATCAATGCTTTTTGATAAGATGGTAATTCCAGGTCCCTCCAGGCTCTCCCTTGATAACATTTTACAGCCATTAGTTGAGTGACTATGTAGGCTTTATAGCCATAGAATCACATTTCTTCTGCTATTGAGACCCTTTGGGGATTCAAACGGCTCTTTGCCACCACCAAGATCAATTAAGGAGGTAGTACTGTGTTCTGAATTCAGACTGGAGATGTCAGGAAACCAATAAGCTCCAAACAAAATGGAACCACTAAAAGTGAAAAGACTTGCCAGTGTGTCTCTGCCTACCAAAGCATTCAGCAGAAAGGGAAAACACGCAGCCTTCACTTGCACTGTTTGGTTTTCCTCAAAGAACAGTAACATCAATGATGAGGATGCTGTCTGGGCATGTTGCAAATGCGCCTTACTGCCCCCTGCCTTGGTCTCTACCAGTTGGGCTCCTCTGCTTGAGTTCTTTGTCGTGTCTTTGCCGTGGTGTGTGCAGGCTGCTGCTCTCTACCCAAGAACAGGGCCCCTACAAGGAAGAAACCACCATAGTTATCTGTGCCTATAGACCTTTAAATTCTTGAGGGCAGACTCTTGCTCTACCCCCACCCCCACCCCACCCTCTCCCCCCAACTTTGTAACCTGAAGGTCGCAGCGAGCAGCTGCTAACAGATACCCCGCTGCTAAGCCTATCTGAGGACACAGACAACTGCGAAGACGTGAAACCAGAGGCGGAGAAGAGGAGAGACCTCAGGAGGGCAGGTATGTTCTCAGGCATTTATTTTTTGATCAATATAAAGATGACTTCCAGAAAAATCTTACCCTCTACTTTAATCATCTAGTTTTCTATTTAAAAGTTTAAGAAATAATAATGTAAATAACCATTGAAAAACATCCTGGTTAAAAAAACACAGGCTCCCTGAAAATTTCGTGCCCGTTCCTACATGCCTCTCCTCTGTTTACTTCATTCTTTTCTTTTGTGGATGTCAAGGGTAAAGCTAAATGGGAACACGGCTCAGATTAATGAACCCGGCTGTCTGACTCCTAGCACAGCCTTGAAGTCTCGGGCACATCTTGATCTCTCTTACATGAAATGCGCTCTTCTAGAAAACAAAGGCAACTAGATTCTACTGGCAACCTCAGAGACATGCTCATCAAATTCTTTCCTGTTTCATATGTGTTTTTAATTATTCATCAGCGAGACATAAAATAGTTCATTATGAAAAGAAGTCTCATTTGGATGTTAACTTGCAAATAAAAGTCAAAAAGAAGTTTGTACAAATTATTTTTGTAAATATATGTACATAAAATATCTTCTAAAATTTTAGCAAACCAGTGAAAAAATCTTCTTGGGAAGAATAATACAAAGATAATGACCCCAACTTGGAGTGATTTTTTCACAGTCCGTCTTCCGTGAGCTTCGTTAGTAGTCTAAAGGGCGAGATCAGACCCTCATTATGAACTACGATTCATTTGAGATGATGGGAAAGTAATTTGAAGAATTCGGGGCCTGGTAATGAGTTTCCTTTGAAGTTGGGGAGGGTGGCAGTGGGAACAGAATTTGAGATAATTGCCGGTTGTCTCCAAGGAGCCCAAATGTCGATGAAGCTCCTGTGTTTAATAATTAAAGATGCTAACCTCAGAGAAAGACAGAAGGACTCTGTCGGTAACCCCTGGACGATTGCAAAGCCTGCATCTCGGTCTAGCAGTCCATCTCTGACTTTGCCTGCTTCTTCCCCTCTTGCCCTCACCTCTGGCTTGCTGTGGCTTCCACTGCAGGCGCTGAGGAGAACAATGGAAAGCCTGAAGAAGGGAAGAAAACCGGCTTAGGAAACTTGACTCTGGCAGCACCCCCCACTGTGGCTGTGAAACACCCGCCTTTCTGCCCGAGGTGCCCTTCTGAGAACAAGGTACCGAGGATGCCTATCCCAAGCATGTTCAGGAAGTCAACACATGTTTGCCCAACTCTTTGAAGTTTATAAGCTCTGCATCTGGGTGGAGTCCAATTAACGCATCCGTAGGAAACCCTTTCTAGGAGAAAGGTTCGACTCTGGGCGTGCTTCCTCCTCCCATTTGTTGGAATCTCTGTTGTTAGGCTCATAAGAACTTTACTCTAGTTAATCATGCCATGCCTGGAGTATTCTCCCAGGATCTACTGCCAAGAGACCTCAAAGTCCATTTCCAGCGTTCTGCATTTGGCCTGGGTAACCCTTAGTCCCACCAAAAGTGCCTCTCGGCAGAGCTGCGTGGGTTAGGGGAATTCTAATGGAAGGCAGAGCTCTTCGCTCCTTTCTCAAGCCAATTCCCAGAGTATCCCTCTGTGCTGGAGGCATTCTGTAGCCTCGCCAGCAGAGCACCAGAGGTAACAGAGAGCAGGAGAGCGGCCTTGAAGGCCCAGAAAACAAAGTCAAGGGCATGATCTCATCTTAACTAATTACATCTGCAGCGACTCTATTTCCAAATAAGGTCATGTTCTGAGGTGCTGGGGGTTAGGACTTCATGTACGAAATTTAGGGGGACACAATTCAACCCATGCAAATCTCAGTCCATGATCCCCAAATCCTGGTCTAGGGCGGAGGCAGATAGAAACTGCAACCTTCGTGTCAGAAGAATTTGTATCTGTGCCCCCTGCCTCACACAGAGAGCTCCCTGCACCCCTCCACATCCTTTCCACTGGCCAGACACCTGGTCCGCCACCATCTGCCCTCCCCTGACCCAGAGAGGGGTCAGGAGGAGCAGCTGCTGGGGAGATGGCTCCTGTTTCTTGATTTTTCTTGGCTCACGCATTATTTAGACCCTGTTAAGGAGTGGGCCAGCAGAACGTCTTTCCTGGGTGCCAACCTATTAGACCACAGGGGTTCCTAAAACCGCTGCAAATGAAGTAAGATAAAGAAACTTGTGTTTACCAGACTGAGCGGGATCGTGCAGCCCTCTGAGAGCATGTTCGAATAACAACAGATGTCTCCTGACTGTCTTCCTAGGAGAACAGATCCTGCCAACTATAGGATTTGGGTTTTGCTGAGTAGGGTTTTCGAGGTTGGAGGCAGTATTTAATGGCTCAGACCAATTAAAGCAAGACTGAATTCTGCCACCCGTCTTCCTTGCTTGTCCTCCCTCTGTTCAATGACACCACCCTCCTTAACAAATGTTGAGTGTAAGTGTTACCAGCGCTAGCCTCAGGCACCCACAAGTACCTCTCTGCCCAGGATATTCCAAACTCGATGAAATAGCACCAGGAATGAAGTTTCCATTTGCGTTGACAGAGTTATGGGAGACTGGATTTTTGGCACGGAATACGATTTTTAAATGTAGTTCCTAGAAGCTGGGCATTTGGGCTCCATTTCACATTGCAGAACATAAATCTTCAAACTGACAAATTTGCAATAAGAAAGCAAGTATCTAAAAGGTGATATGATTAACTAAAATTTAACTTAATTTCACTTTATCATTTTACATTCAAAAATTTTATATCTGTCTTTCCAGACACGTATGTGGGTTTAAAGTTGTTGACCATGTTTCTTAGGAAGGATGGTCCTGCTTCCTACTGTCTGAGGTTAAGCTGGCCTTTTATATATGAAACAAAGATGAGAAGACGTGGTAGTCTTTTGTCAATGTCCTTACTTGGCAAAAACAAAAAGTGGCAATCCTAAAGTGATCTGTCCCTTCCCCCTACACACACACACACACACACACACACGTATTTTAATTTTTTTTTTGTCCTAGGCTGTGATATCCAGAAATTTGGAAGCACTGGTCAACAGGACAAAACAAAAAAACCCTTAAGAGATGATTCAGCTGATATAGTCTACTGTAAAAGACTCTAAAAAAATCTCTGAGGAGGGAATAAAGCAATAGACCTGATCAAAAAACTCCTCCTGAGGGGGCTGGCCCCGTGGCTGAGCAGTTGAGTTCGCGCGCTCCGCTGCAGGTGGCCCAGTGTTTCGTTGGTTCGGATCCTGGGCGCGGACATGGCACTGCTCATCAAACCACGCTGAGGCAGCGTCCCACATGCCACAACTAGAAGGACTCACAACAAAGAATATACAACTGTGTACCGGGGGGCTTTGGGGAGAAAAAGGAAAAAAATAAAATCTTTAAAAAAAAAAAACTCCTCCTGAGGATCCAGCCCTGCCTGACCCCAGAGAACAGTGTTTCTCGGTCCCATCTAAAATGGAGGCCTGCATGACGCCGGGGTCTTTGTTTCTGCTCCTCGTCCCTGCCTGCTACCGAGGGCTCCCTGCGCACCACAATCTTGACTTCTCTCTGCTGTGACGGCTGGCCAGTGAGCAGGCTGTCTTGGGCTGTCTGGAGAGCAGGAAGCAGATGGAAAATAAATACAGTTGAGGAGCTCTGGGGGCAAAGCCACAGACAGGACAAGAAGGCCAAGAAATAAACAAACAGGAAGGAGACGGGTCTCCTGCCTTTCATCCCTGGCTCTGATAGATAAGACTTGAACAGCGAGACATCAGCTGGGCTCCGTTTCAAACTCTACCCAGCTTCCACTCCAGAGTGGTTTTTCCCTTTGAAAAATCTATCTCTGCATTTCTAAAAAGGGATGATTAAAATAAGCTCTTAATAAGTGATTACAACTCACTTCAAATGCTGTACCCATTATTACATTAGAGATGTATGGTATGCAAGAATTCGAAGTCATCTTCAACATAAATATTGTCCCTGTGTATACAGCGCACATGTGTTAAAGGTGGAGACGCTGACCTAGAGAGATCTTCCGTGCATTAAACCAGAGCATCTGGGAAAGATGCTGAAGTGCTCGGAAGCCACGGTAGTAGTGCCCGCATCATTCTGCCGATGCCCCGTGTTCTTCCTTCTCCCCTTTCCCCTTGTCAAACCCAGCTTTAATGACGGAGTCTAACACCGATCTTCCACACCTCATTGGAAACTTAAGGCAAAACGTTATCTCTGGCAGCAAATCATTATTCTTGGTGTAGTTACTTTATACTTGAAGTCAATTCCATTTCATTTCCCTAAGAATTTCTTCCTTAAAACTCCCTGTTACTGTGTGACGGGTCTTCAGTACTCCCCACCTCACCCCCCCGTCCCTGGACCAAGTGCCTCCTTCTCGGGGTCTGCTTAGGTGATGGGTAGGAACAGCGGTTAGCGCCCTGGAGCTGGGTTACCCGGGCTGCAGTCCTGACTTCCCCACGTGCTGGTTGTATGACCTTGTCAGTGTTTTTAATCTGAGCCTCAGTTTCCTCATGTACAAAATGAGGACAACAACACTCCCTTCTTCAGAGGCACGTGTGAAAAATAATTGGAACATGTTAAGCTCTTGGAGCAACGGCTGATGCTTGAGGACTAACTAGCTTATTGCTTTCGTTATGTGGTCAGAAATTATTAATGTGAGTATATTTTCCTTGATATTAAAGGAAGGAAATTTTAAAAGTAACTGGCTCAGCAGAAAATAATAAATAAGAAATTTTTCGTTTCTTAAGGTCGGCATCTTTCTACAGAATTCTGTCTCCATGATCAATATAAGACTACATGGTCACATTTTTTTAAAGCACAGTATTTCAAAGAATCTTCAGGTAGCAATACATGTAGGACAAGAAATTGTTTTAGATTTTCATCTTTTTGTCAATATAGGCAATAGTCACCTATTGTTACTAATCTAAAGCCTTAATACGTTTAGTATATCTTTTTTTTTTTTTTTGGTGAGGAAGATTGGTCCTGAGCTAACATCTGTTGCCAACCTTCCTCTTTTCACTTGGGGAAGATTGTCCTTGAGCTAAAAACTGTGCCAGTCTTCCTCTATTTTGTACGTGGGACACCGCCTCAGCATGGCTTGGTGAGCAGTGTGTAGGTCCGCACCCAGGATCCGAAACTGCGGACCCCAGGCCACCAAAGCAGAGTGCACAAACTTAACCACTATGCCACTGGGCTGGCCCCCAGGTTTAGTATATCTTGATTCAATATGCCTTATTTTCTAAAAATCTGTTTCAATCTCTATGTTACCAATTTAAAATGCTGTTGACTAGGAAGTTCTTTGAGGGGAAGGAATTATTTTAAGACTTCCTGTTAAATCACGTTTACACCACTTCACTCCATAACAAGGCACAGGGGACACCAAAGAGGACATGTGTCATTCAGACGATGTTTTCTGGCTTTGGCAAGTCGTGACAGATATTTTCAAGATCTTATTGCTACTCTAGGCATTTTAACAGGATGCACTTTGGGAGCAAAGTCTCACCTCAAGCCAGTGCACCTGAGTGTCAAAGGAGCCGTAGACTCGGGATGGGAGGGGGTGAAGAAGCCCGGGGACCTCCACAGTTACCCAGCGTCAGTGGCGTCCCTTCTGGTCTTCGCAAACAAGCGTGGCAGGAGGCAAGGATGAATTCTGATGTGAATTAACTGTGGTTTTATTTTGCATTAAATATAAACCAGTTAAAGTTAAATAAATTTCTTCTTGCTTTTGTTTTATTCGTAACAGTGAAAGTAACGTCAGAGGAGGAGCGTGAGGAGCGTTCTCTGTCGAGGGAACAGGCCTTTATCGAAAACCCGGCTCAGCCGTGGCTTCCAGTCAGGTCATGGAGCTTCTCAGTCATCTCCTCTGCAAAGTTCAGATCAGAGTCTCCAGTCATTTACATGGATGCTCTACAGATTAGCTGTCAAGTGTTTTGAGACTGTTAACTCCTTGACAAACGCTAATGAGACGTGTCAAAGAAACTGCTACGATTCGTTCACATACATCACTCCACCGGCTCTGTATTACCACCTTAGGTCCCGTTATTTACAGGCATCAGTTTTTAAATTGTATTGCACTCTACACTGTCCTCCAAATAAGCACCAGGTTTTAACTATAAAGTCTTGAGTTTTCAGCCGTCACTGCTGAGTCGATCTTCAGGGTCTGTGTTATGAGCAGAGAGAAGGTCATCTGCCCAGAGCCTCGGGTTGGCTGGGAATCCCCAAGGCGTCATGAGCCTGGGAGTTGTAACAAAGACACCTGCATCCTTACTTTAAGGAAAGAACATCAGCTGGGAAGCCAGGAAGAAAAGCCAGGCTGACGGGCAAAGTGGGGGCGATGACTACATCCTCAGCTTCAAATTACGTCCCGCACTTGGACCAAAGACCGCGTGAGTATAGAAAATATCGACTCCGCGATTTCTTTGAGTTGTATCTCTCGGACTCTAAATGTATTTGGAACAAGCTAGGAAAAAAAAGCCCCGCAAACATCTCTGTCCTAAGGGGGAAAAAGGCATGCTGCATTTATCCAACTTTCCGGGGGAAAGGAAAATAAAGACCACTTTAACATCGGGCTACAAAGTGTCCAGCTGCATTCCCACCTTGGCCCTGACTACTCAGGGCTCCAGGGCCAGTCCTTGAACCTGAGTCTCTGTCACATTCTCGGCCTCTGCTTGTAAACACAAAATTAAAACACTTCTTTCCGAGAACAGTTTAGTGGCAACCAGAGGGGAAGGGGGTAGGGGGTGGGCACAAGGGGTGAAGGGGCACATTTACATGGTGACTGACAAGAATTTGCAACTGAAATTTCACAATGTTATAAACTGTTATGACCTCAATAAAAAAAAAATCCAAAAACAAACCCCACCTCTTTCCCATCTCACAAGGAAGTCATAAAGATTCCACTTAGAACATTGAACTTCAAAGATGAAAGGCTCAATATAAATTCCAGCATTCTTGTCAAGACGTCAGTGTGAACTGACGGAAATGTGCTGCGTGAGCACTGCCTGCGTCCACAGATCTGAATGAGGAGGAGCTGGGAATGCAGAGCGAAGGGCAGGAGGGCCAGGGACAGTGAGCGCCTCATCTCCGTGCCAGCCTTCACCGGGTTCCCACTTGCCTGTGCACACCGGGGAGCTCATCCTAAAGACCAAACGCTGCAGTTCACTGCATACCTGCTACTCCCCCCAAAAGAAATAGAATAGACATTCATCCTGCACCTGCAGTGTGCAAGGCTGTGCTAAGGGCTGCAAATACAGAAATTAATGTTACGTAGTTCTTACCTCTTCAGAGCTCATAGTTGAAGTAGGAGAGCTGTGTCTTCTCCATGTAGTGTAGAGAGAGGCGAGTCTGCCAGAAGCCTAGAGCATCCCAAAGCGAGACCCTCCACAAAAAAACCACCCAACCGTTGTGTAGCTGACTTTCATTAGCAATGACTGTATTGGCCATGATATGTACTGTGACAAATCCAAATTTTGCACGTTTTTTTCTACTCTCAAATCAAAAAGCTCTTAGTGATTCCTGAACCTACAGATGCTCTGTATTATTACTGAAGGTATTTCTAAAGGGACTTAGGTGATCACAGCTCCATCACTCCGCTCTCAGAATCAGTAAGCTGGAAGGGCCCTTCATCCCAGATGACAAATGCTTGCACCAATGATTGGCAGCTGACTAGCCTCGAGATGATTTTGTGTGGCCAGGGGTGTGGAGAACAAAATACCGTATGCATGTGTGGTGGCAGGGAGGATCGGGGGATACACACCAGGGACAGTGTGCCTGACTGCACTATCTCTGCCTTGGGTGCCTGCCCTCCTCTGGACTACTTGGTGGTGAATAAATGACTGACAAGTTGGGTGCTGCCTCAGAAAGCTCGTCAGCCTCAGCCTAAGCCGTCTGAAGCAGCTGTCTCGACTCTGTTTTAAAGATCACCAGGCCCCAATCCCCATTGGAAACCTAACTCCAACATCCGACCCACCTACAGTTGGGAAGCTCTTCCTCGCGTGGAGGTGGAGAACAGGTCGGCTTATTTTCTAAAACCCTAGAGGTCATCGTAGTCGCGCCTTTAACTTCTAGCTTCTATCGTTAGAGAGTGGCTTTCCACAAAGGGTGTCCAATAATTGTTGGTTTTCTTCTCCAAATTCCCTCCAGTTTCTTCCATGTTTCTTTTTAGAAATACGGATTTAAGCCAGATGGGACAACGTGGGTATCCAATCTCCTCATCTGTAAAATGAGACAAGATGATGTCTAAGACTCCTTTTGCTCAAGGATCTTAATTCTTGAGAAACTCTGCACAATAGCACGATAGTCCAAGGCAGGGATCAACACATGTTTTCTGTAAATGGCCAGATAGTAAACATTTCACACTTCGAGGCCAGAGGGTCTCTGTGTAACAACTCAGCAATGTTATCATAGAGCCCAGACAAGCAGCCATGGACAATACACACACAAATGAGTGTGGCTGTGCTCCAATAAAGCTTTATTTACAAGTACATGTGGCCAGCTGGATTTGGCCCACAGGGCATAGTTTGCCAACCAGAAAACACCAAGCTTTTATTCTATATCTCCAACCACCCTTTCTGTCCCTGTGTCCAGGCTCAGATTTTCTGAGATGGCCCACAACCATTCAGCAGCCGGTGGACCTGGGAACCCCTCAATTGCCTATGTATGTAATACACACACACACACACACACACACACAGAGCTGGTAGGGGTGGGGAGCCCAATTTGACAAACAGAATGTTTCTCATTTTATTTTGTTTTGTTTTTACATTAACCCATTCCTGACTTTCAGGATAAGTGCACGTCTACATGTTTTACAGAGTTTTGTAATTAGACTCAATTTTTTAATTTCTTGGGCCATATTTGCCAACAGCTATGACCTCACAGTTAATAAAGGGCTACTGGTCCCTCCTGCTCAAAGCGTGGTCCACGGACAGAGGCCTCAGCAACATCTAGGAGCTGCTTAGAGATGCCAAATCTTGGGCCTCTGCCCAGATCTACTGAATCAGAATCTGCATCTGAACCAGGTGGCTCATAGGAACATACCATTTGAGAAGCACTGCTGTTTGTGATGTATCTGTCAGTCAAGGTCCTGGCAAGAAACAGATGTCAACCGCAGGTGGAACAAAAGGAGAGGCGTAGCAAAAGGACTTCTTAGGGAGGTGCGGTGGCCAGAGTGAGATGCACACACAGGGATGGAGAGGAACCTTTGGACTAGCAACCGCTGTGGCCATTACAACCTCTGGGGCTGAGGGGACACAAAGGAGAATAAGTGATACCTGAGCCCACTTGGCACAAGAACTGTCAAGAGGAGCCTGCCTGGTGGAGCTGTCTTCAAGGAAGAAATAGCAACTTCTGGAGACGCATCATGAAAGCAAGGAGAGAGCAGAGAAGAAATAGCCCAGCCTTTCTTTCTTCCTGCCACCTAGGCTCTTGCTGGTACCCCCCATTGGCCAAACCCAACCAGAAGACAGAGCTCAAGGGAGCCCAGGAGGGGTGGTCCCCAAGGGCCAGGCTCCCAGGGCACAGAGCAGAGAATGAGGGACAGTGGCAGAAAATAGCGAGCACAGCCAGAGAGTGCTTCCACTTGAGGTCCAGATCCCCCTGGGGCTCTAAGCCGGTGTCCCTCCAGCTGGCAGTTACCGTCTGCCACTGTCTCTCTCACCGGGAGCTCCCTGTTCTCACGTTCTCAGTTAACACTGTAATGTTGGCTTTTCCTTTTATTCAGAATTCAAAATTGCTCAACTTCTATTATTGCCCAAACTAAAACATCATTAAAAAAAAAAAAAACTTTTCATATCTCCATGCTACCTCAAGAAAACCACATCTCAAAATTGTTTCTTTTTGACTGTCACACCTACTTCCCAATAAAGTTAAAGCATGCTGGGGAAGGACGGCCTGCCTCCGCTGGCACGAAGTTTTTGGCTCAGAGAAGCAGCTTCCCTCTCTCTCCTACCTGCAGAGAGTGCAGGAGAGAGGTTTCAAACGAGGCTTCACATGGTTTCCCGACATACGCAGTGGGTTGAGAGATTTCTTAGCGAAATATAAGAATCAACAGTGTTAAAAAGAGTGAAAAAAGGAGGCAACAAATACGTACAATGAGGAGTCTGCCCCTTAGTCGCCTGTCCTTGGGCAAACAACTTCCTTTCGCTTCAGTACGTAAAATGGAGATACCATGTGTGTTGCCTGTCTTAGTGCCTATCTCGCATGTTTGAAAAGAAGGAAATAGCGCATCACAGGGCGGAGACGAGGTGAGGCAGAGAGAGCACTCGGCTGGCCCATTAGCTGTAATTGTTACTATTGCTGATACTGAGCCACATTTCAAATGCTGCTGGAAGGGTTTTCATCACCCAAACCCAGCCTCCACTTCTGGGTTATTGGGAAAGGGCCAAATATGTAATCCTTACTCAGGGACAGTGTGTCTGTCCTCTTCCTACCACTCCAATCCGAGTGATACGGACAGCCTAGAAAGAAACCAGAGGCCCCTTCCTCTCCCTCTGGGTCTGATGACAACAGCCCTGGAGGGAGCTCCCTCGTCCCAGCCTTCTGGCCTCATGTGATTGGCTGGCTCTCCGGAGGAGGGGCATCTCCCAAGGAAACTGTAATACCCCGGTCACCACTGAGCCACCAAGGAGGAGGAAGAGTGAGCATGACATCACTTCCTGTTCTCTTTTGGGTTCCCAACCATTCTCCACTAGGAGAGGCTTTTGTATGTGGGAGCTGAGGAGGGGTATTGCCTGAGGTGGAGGTGACCCCCACACCCTCCCTGCCTCTTCTGTGTTCAGACAACTCTTACCGACCATCTATGTGCCAACTCCTTACACCTCCTCCTACGTCTCCCAAGACAGTCTTGTGGCACTTAACAACAGGGATCTGTTCTGAGAAATGCGGCATCAGGCAACTTCATCATTGTGTGAACAACACAGCTTACTTACATGAACGTAGGTGGTACAAACCTAGGCTGTAGGTCCCTAATCTTCCGGGACCGCCATTGTGCATGCAGTCCACCATTGACTGTAACATCATTATGTGGCACACAACTGTATATATTCTTGTAGCCATCTGTAATCTTTGCCTAAAGATGTGACAGCAAAGCAGGGCAGACAGAGTTTTATTTGGCATTTTGTTTTGGCAGCTTTGGATGACACAAAAGGCAGACAAAACTGCACTCAGGGTGCATGCATTGCAAAACAAAGCAAAGAAAGGCATGGGAAAGAAGGAAAAGAGGAAGATGGGGAGGAAAGAAGAAGGGAGGAAGAAGGGGAGGTGGGAGGGAGGGAGAAAGAACATGAAATAGTTGCAATTTGATATTTCAAAACAGTCCTGAATTAATCTTCAGGGTGGAATACAGATCCTGTTGGAGTTCCTTATACATAGCTTATCATTTAACATTCTTTTTATTTTAAATTACATTAGAGGAGGTGCTTCCGTTCTCACCAGGCCTGCACCCCAAATTATAATGAGGAATGCAGCCAGGCTGCCCTGGGAAGGCTGGGCAGTGTGACGGGGACCACTGTAGACACTGCCTGCTCACTGCACACGGGCACAGAATGGCAAACAACCCACTAGAAATCACCACCAGGCCCGCCAAGTGCTCAGGGCATCTGGCCATGAAATCTGTGCTTATCCCACCCAAACAGCAAACCCTCATTGCCAGGGTAAGCAGGTGGCATTTCTTTTTCAAAAGTTCAACACAACTATCAGCCACAAAAATTACCTGAACCAAGAGGAATCAAGATGGCTTGCTTTGTTCAATCAAAGCTCTCCTTCTGAGTGCCTGGCTCCTGGAGGTCACATACCTCCTGTGTGAAGGAAGGGAACCCAGGACAAAAAGTGTTCTTCAATGTGTGTGCGTAAGTTGCAAAATCAGGATGACCCAGCACAACTCTGAGAGGTTGCCACGGTCACCAAGTCTATTTGGTAACTTTTGCAAATACACATTTGACTCATTAAACATGTTTTCTTTCCTAGATTAGTGTGCAAAAGTCACTGGAAAAAATTACTTAGTAGGAGGGTGTACTTGAGTGCTGTTTAAAGGAGATTTTCTCACCATTATTTAGAAAGAGGAAGGTACACAAAATGGGAGCCACATTGATAGGTAATCTCCTTTAACAATTTTTGTGTATCATTTGACTTTTTTATGTGTACACTTAACCAAAAAGTGAATGGGAATTGTGGGGAAACCATGAGACCTGCATTTCCATGTTATCTTTTTAAATTTTTTTATTGTGGTAAAATATACATAAATCAATTTTACTATTTTAACCATTTTTAAGTGTGCAGTTCAGTGGCATGAAGTACATTCACACTGTTATGCAACCATCACTACCTTCCATCTCTAGAACTTTTTCACCTTCCCAAACTGAAACTCCGACATGATTTTATATGTAGAAAACCCTAAAGAATCCACCAAAAAACTGCTGGAAGTAATAAACAAACATAGTAAATTTGTAGGGTATAAAATCAACATACAAAAATCAATTGCATCTCTATACGCTAACAATGAACTAGCAGAAAGAGAAATCATGAACACAATCCCATTTATAATTGCAACAAAAAGAATAAAATAGCTAGAAATAAATTTAAACAAGGAGGTGAAAGATCTGTTCACTGAAAACTGTAAGACATTAACAAAAGAAATCGAAGACAGAAAGAAACGGAAAGATATTCCATGCTCAGGGATTGGAAGAATTAACATAGTTAGAATGTCCATATTACCTATAGCAATCTACAGATTCAATGCAACCCCAATCAGAATCGCAATGACATTTTTCACAGAAATAGAACAAAGAATCCAAACTGAAACTCTGTACCCATGAATCAATACCTCCCCATTCGTCTCTCCCCCAGTGCCTGGTAATCACCATTACACTTGCTGTCTATGAATTTGACTACTAGGTATCTCATATAAATGAAATCATACAACACTTATCCTTTTTTGTCTGGCTTATTTTACTTAGTATAATGTCTTCAAAGCTGAACCACATTGTAGCGTGTATCAGAATTTCATCCCTTTTTAAGGCTGAATAATATCCCATTGTATGTATGTACCACATTTTGTTTATCTGTTCATCTGTTATCCGTTTATCTGTTCATCAAATGACAGACATTTGGGTTATTTCTATGTCTTGGCTATTCTAAATGGTGCTGCTGTGATAGAGTCACCCAGGATAGAGAGGAAAAGAGAGGACAAGAGTGAAATAGTGGCTTCCAGATGGAGGAGAAACAGGATTCGTGTAGGAGTGAGGAGCAGGCATCCTGAGGCACAGGAATCCAGGAACTGCAGATACGCAACAACCAAGAGTATGGAATTGACAGTGCAGCCTCTAGAGAAGCTTTGCCAAGTCCAGAGAGAGAAGGTGGGAAGCAAAATCCCCAGTGAGAACCCAGCGATGGAGGTGACAGCTCTCACAGGAGCTCAGCCAAAAGTTCAAGAGAGGTGCGAACGGGGTCTGAACAGAAAGACTCTCCTTGTCCCAGAGGGCCTGTCCCAAGAATCAGGCGAGAGAGCAGAAGTTAAGTGGAGTCTCCAGGAGTTCTGAAGCCCCAAGAGACCCAGTACAGAGCACAGAAGAGGAATAAGTACACAGTACTTCCAACAAGTAGGCAGGCCATGTGGGTCAAACAAGACTTGGCAAAGGTCTTTCTTGGATGGGTGACCCCAGAAGGCCTCGCAGCCCGCTCAGGTTCAGTCACCCACATGAGCTACTGTTCATGCCAGCCTTCAGCAGACCGCAGTGTGAGGGAAGAAAGGCGGGGAGACAGTGGCTGGAACCAAGGAGTCCGGGGATAAAAGGATGCTTCCTCACACGCCCTCACAACCCATTCTCACCTTCGGTTGGAACCATCAGAGGGTGACACCCAGGTCTTACCAAGCAGAAGTGACGCACACTTCCTCTTGATCCATTGGATCCTTCGGATCTATTTGAAAATTCCCGTCTGGCGTTGATTTCACGGTTCACTCAACCAGGGGTTGAGTTCTCACTCCATGCGAGGCTCTGCACCACAGCTGAGACACAAAAGTGAGTCGGACAATTTTCCACCTTGGGGGAGCTCACGTCTAACGAGGAGACACATAATTAAAAGGGCAATCACACACAAAGAGGGTGACCAGGGCTACGAGAGAAGGAAATCTGGGGTGAATTCAGGGCACACAGAAGGAGCTTGCAACCCAGGAGGAGTATATAACCCAGAGGGGCAGGCCCACTCGATAAGTTTGTGTTGGTCTCCTGCGGCTGCTGTGACAAGCCACCACAAACATAGTGGCTTAAAACAACACCACTTTATTATCTTAGAGTGCCGGAGATCAGAAGTCCAAAAATGGGCCTTAGGCAGCTAGGATGAAGGCTGCACTCCTTCCAGAGGAGCAAGAGGAGAAGCCGGTCCTTGATTTTTCTGCCTCTGGAGGCCGTGTGCTTCTCTCAGGGTCCCTTCCACGAGGGCCTCTCTGGGATCTGCTTCTGTTGTCACATGTCCATGTCTCTGACTCTGACACTCCTGCCTTCCTCTTACAAGGACCCTGTGACTAGATTGAGCCTACCTGGGTAATCGAGGGTAATTTCTGATCTCAAGATCCTTAATTCAACCACATCTGCAAAGTCCCTTTGCCATGTAAAGTAACACACGTCCCAGGTTAGGGTATGGCTGTGTTTTGGGGAGCAGGGAGCATTATTCTGTCTACCACAAAGTTAATTCCTGAAAAACTAAAAATGCTTAGCATGCGTAAGTCAAATCATTTTTATCCTCGTGAAAAGACTATCCTCTTTTTTTCTTCATCTTCTTTTTTTATGGGAGAAGGAAAGAACTCACACAAATTTTCTTCTGTTGGAAACCTTGTCATGAATCACCTAAGGTACATGTTAAAATCAGCGTGGATTATATCAGCAAATGTCAGACATCTTCTGCAAAGCGCATGCTTCTCTCACTACTTACAGTTCCTTCAGAATGTTCCCACGGAAGTCACTCTGATTCAGCGCGCGCTGCTCTTCTCACATTCTCGGCTCATCATTCCCTTTCCCTTAAGGCAGAAACCGGTGAATCTCGGAGCAGACCCGACTTTTCATGAACTGATAAAACGTACATTAGCCAATTTAATTTTTTAGATTAGAGGGAGGAATGGAATTCAGAACTGTTTCTGGAAATTGTTTATTTGTCTCTATAAAATCAAGACTTGAAAGGCTTAAGACTTCTAATATATTTATTATATTTCTATAGTTGTGATGCGTGAGGAAGGAAAAAAAGGAAAAATTGTAATCCAAACTGGAACCCCTACCCAGTCATGCAGATTATTAATGGCACAGACTGGACAAAAGCCTTGGCCTCTGGACTCCAGGCCCAGTGCTCTTTGCACTGGCCATGATATCTTTTCCATGTCTTTCTTCTCTTTGAGATTAAAAAAAAAAAAAAAAGGTAGGAATTCACTTTTAGATACACCTTGAGTTTAGATACTTTTCCTGATTTCCTCTTCATTAAAAACCTCCCAATGGCCGGCACGGTGGCCTAGCGGTTAAGTTCACGCTCGCTTCAGAGGCCCAGGGTTCACAGGTTCCGATCCCGGATGTGGACCTACGCGCGCATCGCTCATCAAGCCATGCTGTGGCAGGTGTCCCACATAGAAAATAGAGGAAGATGGGCACAGATGTTAGCTCAGGGCCACTCTTCCTCAAAAAAAATCTACCTCCCACCAATAGCAATAATTGGTGTTCCACAAAGAGCCCTTCCTGTTGGTTGATGTTGACCCTGTGAAATACAAACAAGTTTCAACAAGCGGACAGGGAACATGTAATCAACACACTTCGGCTCCCGTTCAGAACGGCCAGGCCCCTGGCACCTGATCCCTCTATGGAAAATGGATATTGGAAAGGAAGATCGCACTTCATTTAAAAGCAGAACAACAGATGCGTGGGCTGGTGTCAGTGAGAATCAGTTACATATCTGACGCAGGTCTTCATGAATCTCAAATAAGGACAATATGGCATCCTTTTATTTCTCTCTAGGATCCCCCAGAGAGGCTCTTCCGCACCCCTCCTCCTCCCAGCCAGATGGCACAGCACCTCCTGTCCTGGGGGAATCCAGGCCAGCCACCCACCCCCTCGACGTTCTCCTCCCCTCCCCAAAATCACTCTCAGCTTCTCTTCCTTCCCCCCAGTTATCACCCTTCATCTTTATTCAACTGGCTGCTTCTCCTTGACCTACGGACACATTAAAATCTGAAGTCCTCAGCACAGGCTGAAACTCATAGGCTGTCTCCTGCCTTAGCTCCACCATCGAGCTTTCCTCTCCAGCCGTACAGCCCACTAAGATCTCTCCATTCCTTTGCACCCACTGTTTTCTCTGCCTGCAAGGCCATCCCTCCATTCTTCACCTGGAGAACTCCTAACCATCCTGCAAAACCCAGCTCAGCACTGACCTCCGTGGTGGTTCTGGACCACTGGCCCTCCCCAGTAAAGGTTAATGCTCCCTGTCCTGTGCAGCAAGAGCCCCAGGCTTTCCTCCCCCAGAGCTCTTAACACCCAACATTAGCATTATCTGCCCCCTCCCAGTCTCCCTCAAAAAGTTCCCAGACGGAGGGCTCTTTAAGAGCACAGACTGCTCCTTTGTTTTAAATGCCCAGCACTTACCACAACCCTTGGTGCTTAGTAGACATCCAATAAATGTTTGTTGAGTGAATGAAAGAATGTTCAAGTCTTTCCATTAAAAAAAGAGAGAAAAGACGACCTATCACCCTGCTACCTTCTGGAACTGCTGTCTCCTTGCATCTCTCTGCTTGCCTTTCCCCCTAGACTTCTCCTAACCCAGTCCTCACTCCTTTGCGAGCTCACTTCTGTTGCCAACTGACCCCTGGATCTGCTTCCCCGATGCTAGGTCATTCCCTGACCACCTGGTCTCCAGGCTGCTCCTCATGCGGGTTCTCCCCGCCCAGTACAGGTCGGTGGAATCACCCTCCTGCCTTTGTGTCACCGCCCTCTCCTATGTTATTTTTAAGTCTTGAGTTGACTCTCCTGCCTCTCCAGCTTCCCATCCCCCTCTTTATCTCAGCAACATTCTCCTTTCCCAACTCCCCCCCTGCCGACCTCATAAACGTTCTAGCCCAGCCGTTCTCCGGAACCTCAGTGTAGATGGCCTGGGAACACATATGGATTGAAACAAGCCTCCTCATGGCCAGCCTCCGGAAACAGAGAGTAATTAAAGGACGTAATGCGTGTACGCCCCTATCACAGGGCCTTCGGCACTGATGGGGGCTGGCAAACCTCCATCCAGGCTCGGCCTCCAGACCGCCCGCTGCTCCCGTTTCTCCGCCCTTTAGTTCACACTGAGCACCGCTGCTGCGCTAGTATTTCTAACGCAGAGCATCAGTTCCCAGCTTAAAGGTCTTCTGTGCCCCCAACACACAAGTCATTAAAAGGAGGGGTCCCCTCATGTACATCATAGTAAAATGAGAACCACAAGGGCCGCGCAGCAAGCTTCCTCTTACACCTCCTCAACTTAAAGATGCTCCTCGTCCAAGATCACGTCCTTCCTGCCTTCTATATTAAAACACCCTTTCTATAATGAAACTGTGGTCATTTTGCTTGGTTTCTTTATTTCAGGATCCTTATTTGGGAAAATACAGAGTTCAGAACTGTAAATGGCCTAAATTTTATTTTTGGAAAATTATATTTTCTAGTCTGTTATTCTGGATTTCTGCAAGGGACCAGTGGCCTCTGCTTTGTGACCCCATGGGATGAAGAGTTTCCTACCATGTACAGCAGTCTAAAAGTAAGATACAGGCAGAGACAAAAAGGGGTTTGCTATGGTAAAGAATCACTTGAGATGTCTGCAGCCTCAGTTTCTTTTCAAGAAAGTACGTTTCACCATAATATTGGCTCCTCGAGGGTTGGAAATCTTTTCTGCTTTTGGAAACAATGCCTTCAGCAAGACGTGAGACTCCCGTGACCGCCACATCCATCAAGAGGGCACGAGGCGGGGCCGGCCCTGTGGCAAGTGGTTAAGGTTGCGCACTCTGCTTCAGCGGCCCAGGGTTTCACCGGTTCGGATCCTGGATGCAGACATGGCACCGCTCATCCAGCCATGCTGAGGTGGCGTCCCCCATGCCACAACTAGAAGGACCCACAACTAAAATATACGACTATGTACTGGGGGGACTTGGGGAGAAAGAGGGCACGAGTGTCCGGACAACTCTATGAGCTTCTTTGTTTACCCACACCTTCCAATTTCTTCTGGATTATTTGCCTTTAGTTTTGTAGACACACACCCCAATAGCGACTTTCGTCAAACACACACACTCTTTACGGCAAGCAATTAATCATTTTCTCCCCCAAGACCATATTTTACAGTCAGAAGCCAATTGTCAGCACACATGCTCCTAAATAAACTGACACATGTACCAGCTAATGGACTAATTCGCATGGAGAAGGCGTCGTGGGAAGAAAACCTGTGTTCCCAGCTTTCTGCGGCAGGTGCGCCTCCTGTTAACATAAAGATCAGTGCTCCTGCTCCAGCCCTCGGGCGCGCTGCCCAAAATTGCTCACGGTTTCTTACGCAGTCGGTGCCAAGATAGTTCTGCAAAATGAGAGCCTGGTTTACACAAGGCGGCCCGAGAGAAGCTCCACTCAGGAGGGGCCAGTATGAGCCTCTCGGTTTCGGGGTTTTTTTTTTTTTTTCTGTTTTGCCTTGTTTTCTTACATCTGCCCTTTCTAATAGGAGATAGTCGCGCAGCAATGCTCCACACTTTCAAACGTGCTTGCTGCGACCAGCGCTGTTCTTCACTTTCCTCCCGGAGGTGGGAGATGGTATGGGTCCCGCGGAAACTGAGACCTCTTGGAATTCATTTATTCCAAAGGGAAAAGGCCTGCCCGCATGCACACACACACACTCACTCGCTGGCATCAAGGGCACCTCCCTTAGCATCCCGAGCATGGCTGCGCCCCCTCCCCTCGCTCACCTGTGTCCCCTCAGCTAGTGTTTCAGCCCATGGGGTCTGCCCTTCTGCACGGGAAGTTCAGCTCCTCCATAAATCACTGTACTGAGGGGAGGACCACGGCAGAGTTCTCTCAGAGCTCCAGAAAAGGGAAACTTCCGGTCTGTTTTCTACTTCACTTCACCAACTCTCTCTTCTCAGAGCAAAACATAAAGGCTGGCTGGGGGTCGGGGGGGGGGGGGGCACAGTACATGTCAAAGATGAGACTTCCAGAATTCTGCAGAGAATCCATCAACAGTGTTCTGGATTTAGCTTTAGTTTTCACACACAAGGATCGCCCACACTCTTTTCCAAATAGGTCTCACAAAAATGCCAAATGCAGCTCTGCAAACCCGCCCTGCTTTTCCCCTCCGGGTCCTCAGTGAGGAGAGGGCGAGAGTGGGTTAAGGCTGGTCCCAGGAAGTGGCCGAGGCACAGGACGCTCCCCTGGGAATCAGTCCCCAGGTCAGCCCAGAAGTCCAGGGTGGTGGCTGCCTCCCAGCAGGCCTGTGGCCCTTTGCTTCAGCCATTCCTCTCCTGGGGTCCCTCAGTACCCCAATTGCTTTCAAAGACACCATCCTCATTGTTCTCAACTCCCACCAAAAGATTTTTTAAAAAGGATTAGGCTCCCACTAACGAGCACCTCTCATTCTGGCACCTTCAGAAGTAAAGGATTTCACTTCCCTTCCGTAACTGGAGCAAAGCCTTCCCCCCTGCAGGGGATGTGGGCCCATTCTGGAGCATTTCCTCCAGAGAGTCAGCTTTTCTGAACAAAGGCCCGACTGTCTGTTCAGGATGGGAAAGCATCTCTCAGAGTTCGGAGCACGCCCTCCTACAAACCCAGACATGCATGAATTTCCCCATTTCACCGCAGGAGGCAAGACTGGTGGCTTCAGGCATCATTAATCATTTTGAAGTGATTATTCTTAAAAAGGAAAAAAAAAGAAACAAAACCAGGGACGCAGCTTAAGTTGTGCCCAATAAAAATTAGCACTTCTTCTCCTGAATCCATGTGGAGCGTTGAAGGTGTGCTGTTCTGACAGAATCTACTTGCTCCTCGATGAGAATTCCCACAAATCCTTGGGATGTGACATGGTCAGAGAGGACAACTTAGAGGGAGTTTCAGATGGGGAGGGGGTCTCTGCTTCCTTTGCCCTCCCCCCCCCACTCCCAGGAATACACACATTTAGGAGGAGGATGAAACAAGAACAATTTGGGGCTTTTGCTTCCACCAGAAATCTTCATTTCCCCATTGAAATGCCATTAAACAAAGCTGGGGACAATCCTGCTTTGCTCTAGCTCCAGCTAGGAGAACAGTGGGGTGCTCCCCCAAACCCCCACCGCAGAGCCCTCCAGCCCAGCAGGTGGAGGCTGGAAGGCTCTCCTTCCTTCGAAGGGCTGCCCCGTGCAGGTGTTCCTCACAAAGGGAGCCGAGCCGCAGCCGGCCTTCAAATCCCATCACTGTCTCAGGAAACATCTCCCATCTACGCCTTTGAAGTAAAACCGTTTCTCCAGCACAGGAAGAGTGATAACTAGAAAATGAAATCTTCAACTCTGTCTTTCCTGGGAGATTACATTTCCTGCTGGACTGGGGGAGAGGAAATTTACTTACG